AAAAGCCACTTTATGATCTGTAACTTTGTTCATAGATAAGATACAGTATTCCAAATAATACCGTTTTGTAGTACTCGTGGAGCTCTATCATATCTGATTTAGTTGGTTTGTAAATATTGATTCTGAAAGAAATTATGGCAGGGCCCGCGAAGGCCCGGATTACAAGTATGGGTTTTTGGGTTCAAAACTCAAAAAACTAACAAAAGCCAAATTCGAGGGAGAAAAAATCCAAAACTTCGAAATTCGCAAAAGTTCAAAAAATGACTAGAAAATGTTCAAAAATGCAAATTTCGAGAGAGAGAGAGAGAAAATGGCATTGATTCCCTGAAAACGCTGTTTAAAGGTGGTGTACGGTGAAATTTTTGTATTGCATCAAAATGTGCAGAAATGCATGCAGATTGACATAAAAATAAAGAAAAAATTCAAAAAAATTCTTTCATCGAAAAATACGCTGAAAGCCCTTAGGGACGAGGTTTTTTCTAATCCGCCCGGTGAGTAAACACGCGCGAATTCAAACTTTTAAAATTTTTTCGCTCGTTTTCACTGTTTTTTTCAAATTTTCCGATGTATCTGGAAGAAAAATTGACAAAAACCTTGAAAAATCTTGAAAAACCGAAAAAAACAGTGAAAACGAGCGAAAAAAATTTTAAAAGTTTGAATTCGCGCGCTTTTACTCACCGGGCGGCCTAGAAAAAACCTCGTCCCTAAGGGCTTTCAGCGTATTTTTCGATGCGTTTTTCTCGATGAAGGCATTTGTTTTTGAACTTTTTCTTTATTTTTATTTCAATCTACATGCATTTATGCACATTTTGATGCAATAAAAAAATTTCACCGTACACCACCTTTAAGCGTTGTTGAGTCGCTACTCACCGAAAAGCCGCGACGCGACCGCGCTACGCGTCCAAACTTGGCGCGCTTTCCAATTTTTAAATCTAGGTTCCCTTCCGCGAGGCCGTGCGCCTTTTGTGTGTGTGTGTGTTACCACCTCTTAAGACACCTTTTCTTCTTATTCTCTTAAGTTAGAGACGGAGGTAGGCGAGAGGAGAAAAAGTACGGGCGGACTTTTTCATTGGGTCAAAAATCTAGGTTTAGAGGCGAATATTTTGGTTTAAAAAAATAGGATTTTTTGAGTTGAAAATTGTTTTTTTTGTTTTGATTTTTATCCGTAAAATTGTCTGTAAATTTTGGACCATTTTGAATCATTTTAGGCCTGAATTTCAATCTGTTCTAAAACGAATTCGTAAACCCCTCAGGCCTCAGGGCTCCAGGACGTTTCAGAACCCGATGTTTCAGAACTTTTCTGCACTTTTGTATAGTGGTTTTTGCACACCAAATGATCATTGCTCATTTCAATTTGGTGTTTTTTCTGCTTTTTTTATTCATTCTCATCTACCGTACTCCAAATAATGATATATATTCACACTCGGAAACTCTCAAAAAATCGAAAAAAATAAACTTTTCAAGAACGATGTCTAGAAGTACGCAATAATTTTTCCGGCGAATAGGAGTCTCATTTTTTCAATGGCATCGTTTTTTGAAAGCTCATTTATTTCTGATTTTTTGAGAGATTCCCAGTGTGAACC